AGCTGAGGGAAATGAAGAAAAAATTCAAGCCTTGACTTAAAAAATTTTGAAGGATTCTATGGGAAAAATATTGATTGATGCAGAAAGTATCAGATGGAAGGGATACACAGAGTCACTGTACCAAAAGATATGGTTGATGTTCAACTATCTCAAGAAGTAGCATATGATCAAGAGCCAATGATACTGAAGGAAGAAGGCCACGATGCATTGAAGTCATTGGCAAAGAACAAGACACCAAGTATTGATGGAATACAAATTGAAAATTTCAACAAATTGATGCAGCGCTACAGGCAGTTATTCACCTATGCCAAGAAATTTGGAAGACAACTATCTGGTCAACTGACTGGAAGACAGCCATATTTGTGCCCATTCCAAAGAAAGGTGACCCAGCAGAATGCAGAAGTCATCGGACAATATCATTAATATCTCATGTAAGTAAAATTTTGCTAAAATAATTAAAAACCAGCTGCAACCATACATTGACAGAGAACTTTCAGATTTAGAAGAGGATGTGGAATGTGGGATATCATTACTGACATCAGATTGATCTTGGCTGAAAGCAGACTACACAAAGACTTTCGATTGTGTGGAACATGACAAACTATGGCCAACATTATGGAGAATGAGTATTCTGGAACTCTTGATTGTGCTCATAGACCAAGAAGCAGTTGTTTGAACACAATGGAACACTGAATGGTTAAAATGAGGAAAGGTTTGTGCCATGGTTGTATTCTTTCACCATCCTTACTTAGTCTGTATGCTGAGCAAATACTCCAAGAATCTGGATTATATGAAGAAAAACGTGGCATCAGGGTTGGAGGAAAACTCATTAACAACCTATGATATGTAGATGATACAACCTTGCTGTGTGAAAGTGAAGAGGATTTAAAATACTTACTTAAAAAATACTTAAAATATTTTGATGAAGATCAGAGATCACAGCCTTTTTTTTTTCTCTTTTTAATGTTTTACTGTGAATTATGTGATAGTTTACATGGGAGAACATTAGTTTTACATTCATTCTATCGTATAGTATATCGTTTCGTTGCCATGGTTACAGTCCCCTCCATGCGTCATCAACCAACCAAAAGGTTGTCAGTATTTCTTTCTGTTGTGCATTGGGTCACTATGAGTCAATACCTACTTGACGGCACCTAACAACAACAACAACCCGTTATATTGTTCCTAAAGATTTTTTTCCCAATCTGTAGCTTGTCTCTTTATTCTTTTGATAAAGTCTTTTGATGAATATAAGTATTTAGTTTTTATGAAGTGCTCCTGGTGTGGTCCTATAGGGTAGGCACTAGATTGTCAATCACAAGGTTGGTGGTTTGGCAGTTCAAACCTACCAGCTGCTCCTCGGAAACCTTATACAGGGTCACTGTGAGTTGGAACCGACTTGATGACACTTAACAGCACCTTGAAGTTATCAACAGAACTCTAGTTTAGTGCCGTAGGGTAAACATTGGACTACCAATTGCAAGGCTGGCAATTGAAACCCACCTTATATAGGGTCATTGTGAGTGGAACCAACTCTGGGGCACACAGCAACAACAGTTTTCGGCACGGATCAGATTGTGAGGGTGGCCTAGGACCTGACAAGGTTTTTTTCTGTTGTACGTAGGGTCTCTATGAATCAGAATTGACAAGACAGCATCTAACGGCAAGTTATAAAGTCTGTTTGGTAATGTTTCATTGAAAAAAATTAGGCCCCACAGCTTTGCTTCTATATTTTCTTCCAAGAATTTCATGGCTTTAGATTTAACATTTAGGTCCTGGTTCATCTTAAATTAGTTTTTGTGTCTAGTATGAGGTGTTGATTTTGTTTCATTTTTGTGTGTGTTGAAATCAGTTTTACCAGCACCATTTGTTGAAGTTACTCTTTCTCATTGACTAGATTTGACTGTTGCCGCAAATCAATTGACCTTGTTGTTGTTGTTAAGTGCCTATGAGTCGGTTCCGACCGATAGCACCCTTGTACAGGATTTCCGAGGCTGAAAATCTTTACGGGAGCAGAAAGCCTCATCTTTCTCCTGTGGAGCGGCTGGTAGTTTCGAACTGCTGACCTTAAGGTTCACAGCCCGATTCGTAACTTATATTCATTTCTGGAAGTTTAATTCTATTCCACTGGTCTAAGTATCTATCATTAAGCCACTACCAGGTTATTTTGCTTACTGCAACTGTGTAATATGTTTTGAAGTAAGGAAGTAAAGAAAACAAAAATCCTTACTAGTGGACCAATAAAAAACATCATGACAAATGGAGAAAAGATTGAATTTATCAAAGACTTCATTTTGCTTAGACTCACTGTGAGTCCTCATGGAAGCAGCAGTCAAGAAATCAAATGACACATTACACTAGGCAAATCTGCTGCACAGGACCACTTTAAAGTGTTGAAGAGAAAAGGTATCAATTTAAATAGTAAGTATCCCTGTCATGATCTTCTCAATAGCCTCATCTGCATGGGAAAGTTGGACAATGGATAAGGACGATCATAGAAGAACTGAAGCATTTGAGTTATGGTGTTGGAGAAAAATATTGAAATTACCTGAGACTTCTAGAAGTGTTGGACAAAATACAGCCAGAATGTGTCTTAGAAGTCAGGATGATAAAACTTGTTTTTCATACTTTGGACATATTATCAGGAGGGATCAGTCCCTGGAGATGGACATTATGCTTGGTAAAGTGGAGGATCAACAAGAAGGATGAAGACCCCCAATGAGATGGATTGGCACAGTGGCAGCAGCAATGGGCTCAAGCCTAACAATTGTGAGGATAACACAAGACAGGGCTGTTTCATTCTGCTGTGCATCGCATCTGAGTCTGAGGGAACTCGATGACACATAACAACAACAGCTTTTTCATTTGAAACGAAAGCTCTGGCTTTTCATTGATGTAAGACATTGTAGTTGCTAAGCCTAAACTGCCAGAAAACAAACAAATCTATGTTGGAGGAAGTTCAACCACACTGCTCCTTCAAAGCAAGACCGGTGAGACTTCATCTCTCCTACTTTGAACGCATTATCAGGAGGGCCTCACCCCTGGAGAAGGTTCTCATACTTGGAAAAGTGAAGGGTCATCAAAAAGAGGAAGGTCTCTTAACAAAATCTCCTTGCCTCCTCTTACTCACTGGAGCTGAACTCAGATTCACCTTGAGGTCTGTCTCCTATGAATAAAGTCTAGTTTCCCTATTTACCATTGTTCTGTATCACTTCTTTTCAATAAAAAAAAAAAAAAATTATAATCTTAAATTTGTATCGGTTGTCGTTGTTTCCAACCAAAGTGTTGTCAAGTTGTTTACAATCCCTAGTGACCCTGTTTACAAGGAGCGGCTGGTGAATTTGAACCACCAACATTGTGGCTCAAACAACTTTGCAGTCCAGCACATCAGCCCACAGTGTTGGCTAGGTAAGTGTATATTTATGATGTAAGGAGATATGTATTTTATATGGTCACTGAAAGACTGAGAGAAAAACCCTAGTGTACTGGTAACAGGTTCTGGTTTAGCATGAGCACATTTATTGCATAAACCTGGGCTTTTAAAGAACCAGCTGTCTGGGGAAAATGATTGATTATAGGATCCAAGCACTTACACATTCAGTTACTACTAGAGCTGTGCATACTCTTGTGAGTTGTGACTAGTGCAACTTAGAAATATAATAAACTTTAATTTTAATTAACGTAAATATAACAACAAATTTGATCCAATTATTGGAAGAGTATGTTTGGAGTAGCCTACCATTGTGAGATTACTTTTTAAACAGTAAAATTGAAGACCAGCGCTGCTTCTGGTTCTGGAAGACTGAGTACAAAAGGAAACAAATGTAAAATAGCCCATAAACAAATTTATATTGATTACTTTAGTTGTTAATTACATTTACAATTTTTACAATGGCAATAACTGGACATATTGGTTCAAATAAGATTTTTTTTCATTGGAAGTTTCACATATACATATTTTATTTTCTAACATGACTACTAAAATATTTTCAATTACATCTTTGACTTGCATTATATTTTAATTAAACAGAACTGTGCTAGCCCCAACTTCTGCCTTACAAAAAAATACAGAAGACAAAGTAGTGAAATTAAATGATAAAATAAACACAGTGAAATCTGTGAGAATCAGGGTGGTTTCTCTGGGTATCATTTATTTTCCCACTTTGGCAGGATGCTTACCGTTCTTCTATTAAGAATCTTCTATTAATAAAAGATTTCTGACTTTTGTAAGTTTTACTGTATCAGAATGCTGAACATTTTATACTTTACAAGACAAGAAGGAGAATGTTCTGTATAAGACAGTTTGAACAGAACTAAAAACAAAAGGGCAACATGGAAATTGTTGGATCCTAGCTTCGAAAAGAGGGAGACCACCAGCAAGATGGATTGGCAAAATGGCAGCATCACTGGATTCAAGCATGACAACGATTGTGAGGTTGGCCCAGGATCGGACAGTGTTTCCTTCTGTTGTGCATAGGGTCGCTATGAGTCGGTACCAACTCAGATGGCACCTAACAACAACAACAAGCTTCCCAAACTCAACCACTCTAAAACACTTTGTAGAAAACTGGAGAAATTTTCCTTTGTTGTGTGGGACAGTGAAAAGCTCACTTTTCTGGAAAGAAATCTGCTTTATTTGTAGAAAGTGCATGTTTAAAGAGTAAAGTGAATATTTGCAATTAATCATTGGTTATTTTATGATAATGCTTTATATATATGGACATCTATAAAGCCTCTTTCCTTGGTGAAATTTCTATGATTAGTGAAGTCTGACTATTCACTCAAGAATTTCCCACGTTAAATATATTCAGAATATTTCTCTCCAAGTTGCTTTCTTATATATCAGTGATGAATGAGGACTAACAGAATGCTTTCCCACTTTTGTTACATTCATAGCTTCTCCCATTGTGAAATTATTTGTGTTCAATAAACACTGGAGACTGACTAATTAATTAAGACTCTGCTAACCACTTTGTGTTCTCATATGTTGGATGAGGTACGATGACCGGTTATAAGCTTTGCCACATGCCTGACATTCATAAGGCCTCTCTCCACTGTGAATTCTTTTGTGTGTTGTGAGGTTTGAGAACCGATGGAAAGCTTTCCCACATTTCCTACATTCATAAAGTCCTCTCTCACTGTGATTCCTAATATGTGAAGGAAGCTGTGAGAACTGACTAAAAGCTTTCCCACTTTTCTTACAGTCATAAAACTTGTCTTCACTATGATTGTCTGTACACAAACTGAGGTTTGAGGACTTAGGAAAAGCTTTCCCACATTCCTTACATTCATAAGGTCTCTGTCCATGGTGAGTTCTTACATGTGTTCTAAAGTCTGAGGATCAACCAAAGGTTTTCCCACACTCCTGACATTCATAAGGCCTCTCTCCACTGTGAGTCCTCTTGTGTCTAGTGAGGTCTGAGGAATGATGAAAGGCTTTGCCACTTTCCTTACATTCATATGGCCTCTCTCCACTGCGAGTTCTCATATGTTTAGTAAGGTTTGAGGACTGAGTAAAAGCCTTCCCACATTCCTTACACTGATAAGGCCTTTCTCCACTGTGAATTCTTATATGTGTAGTGAGGCTTGAGGACTGACTGAAAACTTTCCCACACTCCTTACATTCATAGAATTTATCTCCGATAAGAGTTCTCACAGGAGTGCTGATACAACTGCAGACTTCTGCACATTGCTTACACGGATAGGCATTATATCCAGAGTGAGATCTGATACGATGCTTACGTGATGGATAATCCATTGAGAGTTTCCCACACTCAAGGGATTCAGAAGGATATACTTCCATAGGATGTCTTTTGCGCACAGAAAGAGTCGGAATCCGGCTCAAAGTCTGTGCACGTTGAGCATCATCATTCCATCCACAGAACTTCTCCACCACAGGTCTACTATGAAACATGGGCAGCATGCTGTTGGGGATAAATGTGTTACCACTCACTGTTACTCTACACAGTAAACACACACTTTCCACCCTGAATTAGCCCACATCTCATGGATCAGTCCTCTGGTAGAGATGCTACCATAATTTTCACTGTGTTTCTAAAATATGAGTCTTTTCGATAAGAGAAATATAGCTCAGATATTCAATTATCTGACTCACATTTGTGAAAAAATATTATACTGTGAACATTCTGTGAACACACAATATTAGGCCTGGTTTTACATACAGAGATAAGGTACCTGTATGGCACAAAAGATTTTTAGAACTTAACTGAAACCTCAAGGTTGATGGTTCAAACCCACCCAGCAGCACTCCTATATGTTAGAAGAGACTAGAAGGAATGAGTTTCAGATCTAACATCCAACTGCATATATATCAGTGGTCCATAAGGCTCCATGATAGAGATCAGAAATCCCAATAAACTAAGTCATCTTTAACATAATACAGTAATACACATAATAATAGCTTTATATACATTGCCGTGAGTTACTACCAACTTGACAGCACTTAACAACAACAAAAATATACATAACAAATTGCTGATCTTAAAAAAATAACAAATCGCTGTATGTACCGCTAATACGCAATATGCTTTTTTACAGGGGTTGGTTCATAAACCGGAGTTGTATGTAAGTTTATAACCCAGGGACAGCCTGTTTATAATATGGTATTAGTATGATGTCAAAATCACATAACATCCTGTTTCACAGAACACATCATGGATGTAAAGTGACAAATATATATATGTGCCTGGTAATGCACTGGTTAAGCACTTTGCTGCTAACCTGAAAGGCCAGTGGTTCAAACCCACCAGTGGTTCAGCAAGAGAAAGCTGGTCTAGTCGTAGTCCTGGTCTGCTTTCATAAAGATTACCTCCTTGGACACCCTACAGGACAGCTCTACTCTACCAACTATAAATATATATACTGTGCTGTTGTTGGTCAGTGCTGTTGGATCGGTTCCGACTCACAGCAACCCTGCACAGGGTTTCCAAGAAGCAGCTGGTGGGTCTGAACCTCTAACCTTGTGGTTTGTCATCCAGCACTGCTCCTCCAGTGCCACACCAGGTGTCCACATTATTGTTAGGTGCTGTGAAGCCAATTCCAATTCAGAGTAACTCCATGTGACAGGAAACAGATCAGATGATCTTCCTGTCATGTAATTATTACAGGAGCTGATTGCCAAGTTTGCCTCCCGCAGAGTCACTGGGTAAGTTCAAATGGGCAATCTTTGGGTGTGGAGTTTAGTGCTACCTGGGATCCACACAGACATACTATTTCCATACCATAATACTATCTTAAGATTCTGTCCAGAAGCATTTCTCTCCCTCAGTTGAACGACACTCACCTCACACGTGTTTTCCCATTGTTATTCTGATCATCAACACCACCATGCCATCTGCAGATTTCTCCCACCACAGGGGACCAAGAGTCATCACCTGTCAGAATGCAGGTCCCTGTCCCTAAGACAGAGTTCTGAACAACTCCATTTCTGTTCATACACCTACAGCTATTCCAGCTGTCAGCTCATAAGTACACGGATGATGGAGAGTTCTGCTGGGGAGTACAGAGAAGAGAGACAGGAAATGCCCTATTCAGTTCAGACAACCTGGATCTCCTTCTCCTAGCAAAACCCCAGGTCCTGGGCAAGACTGCTGCCCTTGGGTCCCTACGACGGCTCTTTCATTTATTAAAATTGATTTCGGTAATATTAACACAGAGTCCTGGTGTGGGGCGGCAGGGTAATGCGCTGGACTGCAAAATCAGTTTGAAATGCAATGTGGGTAGTTCAAACCCACCAACTGCCCCTCAAAAACCCAATACAGGGTGACCATGGGTGGGAACCGACTTGACAGCACTTAACACCACCAACAACACAGAACTTACTTCACAAGAAAAGACAATGCAAAACTCAACAAAAAATAAGTATCGCACAGATCATAATGTCTTTGGGCTTGGACAGTAAATAAAATATTATGTTAAGTTCCCTGGGTAGCACAAAGACTTAAGCACTTGACTGCTAGCTGAAAGACTAAAGATTCAAAGCCACCACCAAGAGATTCCTCAGAAGGCAGGCTGGCCAATCTACTCTGAGAGGTCACAGCACTGCAAGCCTGTAACAACAAGAAACAAGTGCCCAGAGAGTCTGAGGTAATTCCTGGTGATCTCAGTCACTCAGCCACTGGCCTTCAAAGTAACCGGAGCAGTTATCCCCGTCTGTGTTGTTGTTATTAAGTGCCTTCCAATCGGTTGTGAATCACAGCGACCCTGTACAGGGTTTCCGAGGAGTGGCTGGTGAGCTTGAACCACCAACCTTTATTGATGTGCAAACTGGGGTTCAGAGAGGAACAAGTCACTAACCATCCCCCAAATCAAGTTGCAATTAATTAATTGCTGGGTCTGTCTCATCCCTCAAATCTAAAACTCATCTGAGCCTCACTCTCCCCATGAAGAATATGGATGAGGACTGCGTGAAACGAATCCAGCTTCCAGGAAGAACCCCAGATGAAGGGAGTGTGGCACCCTCACCGTGCTCAGCCACTGGGCTGTAGTTTGGGGTGACTGGGGAAGGAGACTGAAGGGCAGCTCACGGAAATCTAACGGAGAGCCAGAAAGGGACTCTTAGGATGACACACTTTCCATCCGTGTAAAGGCAATTGTTGCCCTTAGGTTGGCTGGTGATGATTTGGGGGGGCACCCCTCTCCCCCCGGAGGAGGCTGGAGAACATTTTCTCTGCGGAGACAAAAACGCAGGGGCTCTTTAGGGGCAGCCCCAGACCTGGGCCCCTGCCGGGCTGGGAGGAGAGGGGAACTGGGGCCCTCCAACGGGAGGGGTGGCGCCTCTTCCTGGTCGACTCTCTCAACCAGGCCTCTCGGGGACCCGGACTGAGACCGGAGTTCACTTACTGGTCTCCGACCGCATCCTCGTCCGCTACTCGCAGCCGCGCTGGCTGAGAGCCCCGGGCGGGTCGGAACTGTGCCGCCAAGTCCAAGTCCGGGCGGGGTTCGGGCCGGGGACTGGACTGGCCAAAAGGTGGCGCCGGGCGGGCTAGACCCGGAGCCGGGATTTGGAGCCTGCTCTCGCCCTGCACTCTACTGCGGCGGCGGACGCCAGAACCCAAAAGCACTGGGCGCTTCCAGCTCTGGAGACTCGCCCCCAGGAACTAACGGGGAGCAAAGGTGGCTCGGGGGTGCTTGGTGGAGGAAATGAGCTTCAGCGAGCCGCTCTTCAGTTCTCAGGGCTAACGGCTTTGGAGGCGCTGAAAGCGTGGAAGAGATTGAATGGGGGGCCGCCCGGCGCGCCTGGTTTGCGGCAGAGTTTGGCTGGCGAGGCCTTGACTTAGCGACTGGGGTTCCAGAGTCAACTGCCGGCTTTCCTGTGGAGTCTGTGCCCTAGGTTTGCAAACATAAGGAGATAGGTTTTGCTTTTTCATTTTTGTTTTTTAAAACATGACCTAACCTAGAAAATTGTCTTTCCTCGAAATAGCTCCTGGGATGTCCCTTGTGGACTTTGGGGGTTCTCTGAAAAAATTCTTTTTAGAAAGCAAGGAGGTTGTAAATTCAAGAAATCCAAGATCTATTTCCTAAATAGAATGAGACTAAAGAGAAACTCGCTTGCGGTGCCTGGCCAGCAGTTAGTTGTTGGGTGTGTTGAGACTTTGAGCCTCATCTTCCGTTTGCATGGATGAAGTCAGCCTTTTCATCAGGAATGTGGGAGGAGGAAGGCAAATGGGCCAGTGTATTGTAAAAGCTCTGAAACCCACTAGAGGAAACCATGGAGTGATTCTTCTCTTCCAACTTCATCTTCCAGGAAATTTTGTTGGTTCAACTTTGAAAACTTAACAAATGTAATCAGTTCTCAGCTGTTGCTGGGCTCAGATCCACGTTCCTCTCCTGACTTACCTTGATAATTGTGCTTGGTTCCTGGTTTATGCTCTGACAACCCCTGACCCCTGGTCTGTACAATGAGCATTTCAAACCAAATCAAATCTAACTATTCCTCAGTTTAACCCCAAAAGTGCCTCTGAATTTCATAGTGTCAAGGTTGAAGTATTGTCCCTGGAACGATCCCAACTGTCCTTTCAAAGAATTGTGAATGCCCAACACACTTGGAGTCCTGGTGTGGCACTGTGGGTTAATGCCCCAAACTGCAAAGCCCTTTGAACTGCAAAGTCGGCGGTTCAAGCTTGGGTCGGAATCGACTCAACAGCATTTCACAACACCCTTGTGGAGTTCTGGTGTGGCTGTGGATTAATGTGCTGGACCACAACGCCGGTTTAAACTTCAAGGTCGGTGATTCAAGCTCACCAGCTGCTCCTCGGAAACCCTATACAGGGCCGTTATGGGTCAGAACTGACTCGATGTCACTTAACAACAACACACTTGTAGTTGTTGTCAAGTGCCCTCAGTTGGTCCCGAACTATGCCTAGATCCCTGTATCCCGGAGCCCTAGTGTTCCAAGGTTGAGTATGTATCACTATTTACCTCTGTCCCACTTAGGCCATGCAAACCTGTCTCAGTGTTCCCCTATCTATCTTGTTCTTCTGCCTCCTTCCCCCTTCTTGTATTGTCCTCCCCAGCACCCAAA